TTCTTCTTCTGGGATCCCAATTATTCTAATGTTTCATCTTATGGTATCGCTTATCTCTCAAATTCTGCCCTCGTGATCCAATAGTTGTTTATCTCTCTTTTTCTTAGCTTCTTTATTTTCCATCATTTGGTCTTCTATAACACTAATTCTCTCTTCTGCCTCATTTATCCTAAATTAGCGCCCCCAGTTTTGATTGCATCTCATTAATAGCCTTTTTGATTTTGACTTGGTTAGATTTTAGTTCTTTCATTTCTTCAGAAAGGGTTTCTCTAATAACTTCCATGCTTTTTTCAAGCCCAGCTAGTATCTTTAAAATCATCATTCTGAACTCTAGTTCCAACATCGTACTAATGTCCGTATTGAGTAGGTCCCTGGCAGTAGGTACTGCCTCTTGTTCTTTTTGTTGAGGTGATTTTTTCCATCTTGTCATTTTGTCCAGAGAATAGATGAGTGAGAGAGCAAAATGCTAACAAGGTAACAACGTCCCCAGAAAATATACTCTAAGCAAATCAGAAAAGATCTGAAACCAGGGGAAAAGAAAGGGAAAGAAAGAAAAAAGAAAAAGATAAAAACAAACAAAAACAGAACAAAACAAAAAAAACAGAATATGATCAAATATGATCAGGCTGGTGCATAGATCAGTGCCACACACTAGATTTTGGGTGTATTTTCGTCTGTTAGAAGAAAGTACCTCCCAAAATTTTAAAGAAAGAAAAACTTATATATGTACAAAAATAAAGGTTGATATGATGAAGAGATGGAATATGAATGTAAAGATGAAAATTATAAAAAATTTTATAAAAGGAATTGATAAGAAGTTGTTTGAAAAAAAAAGAAGAGGATTTAAAAAAAAAGGGAGAGAATGTGATCAGGCAGGAGACTAGAACAAAGCCATACACTAGAGATTTAGGGTATATTTTGATCTGTTAGAAGAAACTGTATCTCAAAATTTTAAAGAGAGAACAACTTATATATATATGCCAAAAATAAGGGTAACTACTATGAAGGCATAGAATATAACTCTAAAAATGAAAAATAAAAATGTTTTCTAAAAAAGGGATTGATAAGATGTTAGTTGAAAAAGGGAAAAAGAAAAATTAAAAAAAAAGACAGTTTTAAAAAAATTAACTTTGAAAAACTAAAGAATTATGGTAAAAATGCCATGAATTCGATGTGCAGTATTCCCCTAGCACTGGAGTTCTGCCATTCTCATTGATTGGTAAACTTGGTCTTGGCGGGCTGTTCTTGCTGATCTTATGGGGGAGGGGCCTGTTGCCATGGTTCCCAGATGTCTTTGCCGGAGGCGGAATTGTCCCGCCCTTGTCGGTCAGGGCTAAGCAATCTGCTTGGGTTTGCTCTCGGGAGCTTTTGTTCCTTGCAAGCTTTCGGTACAGCTTTGGAGGATGAGAGTGAAAATGGCAGCCTCCCAATCTCTGCCCCAGAGGAGCTGAGAACTCGGGGCCCCACTCCTCAGTGAGTCCCAGAGAAAAGCATTCAGTCACTCCCATCTCCCCAGTTTCTGGCTGCCCTCCGTGCTCACCTGGCCAGTGACCGAGCGTTTCTATCTCTGGCACCTGACCCGGTGTGGAGTCTCCAAACCCAGCTGATCCCTGCGGTGCGCTCCCGCACTGCTCCTTCCGGGGAAGGAAGGGGAGTCTCTCCGTATCTGCCACTTGTTGGGTCCCTGCTGGAAGATCAGTGGCCCGACTGTGCCGTGGATCACGGTTTATGACAACCTCGAGCTGAGAGCCCACTCCTGGCCTCCGTCTCTACAGCCGGCTTTACAGCCGGCTTCCCTGCTCTGATACCTGGGAGCTCTGCCTCACTCAGGCACCCCGGTCTTTCTGTGACTCCCGAGGGTCCTGAGACCACACTGTCCCGCGAGGGTTCCACCCCCAGCTTAGCCACTGGAGCGATGTCCCTCAGCGGAGCCGACTTCTAAAAGTTCCGATTTTGTGCTCCGTGGCTCTAGCACTTGCCAGAAGCGGCCGCCGGAGGCTCCTCCCCCGCCGTCTATCCTCCCGAATATCCCCTCGAATTCACTTCTCCGCTTGTCCTACCTTCCAGAAAGTGGTCACTTTCTGTTCAGAGAGTTGTTGCTATTCTTTTCTTCGATCTCCTGTTGAGATCGTAGGTGTTCAGAATGGTTTGATCCCTATCCAGCCGAATTCCTGAGACCAGACGAAATCCAGGTCTCCTACTCCTCCGCCATCTTGCTCCACCCCCCGGCAGTTTCTTTAAAAGTTAAACATACACTTACTATATATGATCCAGCCATTTCATCTTTAGTTATTTATCCAAGAGAAAAGGAAGCATATGTTTACATAAAGACATATACACACATATGCACCTACATAAAGACCCACATATATAAAGCATTCACAGAAGCTCTATTTATATAATCCCACTGTAAACAACCCAAATATCCATCAATAGATACAAATTTTGGTATATCAATACAATAGAATACTACTCAGCAGTGAAAAGGAATGAACTCCAGGGTCACACAACAATATGTATAAATCCAAAATAATTATGCTGCGTGAAAGTAGCCAGACCAAAAAAGAAAACTTACTGTAATGACTATTTATTTAATATTCTAGAAAATACAAATTAATCTATAATGATAGAAAGAGATTAGTGGCTGCCTAGTGATAAGGTGGTAGGTTGGAGGGAAAGAGGAATTACAAAGGGGCATAAGACATCTTTTGGGAATATGCTCATTAATTTACCAAATTGTACCAAATTTTAAGTATGTGCAATTTATTGTATGTCATTATATTTCAATTAAGTTTTAAAAGAAAAAAAAGATTAAATCTCATACCAGTGATGTCTAATACCTGATCCTTGGAATCAAAGACCATAATCTTGAAATGCTATTCCCATTAATTCACAAGGAAGTGACCTGAGGCAAGCCAGGGAGCTTACATTATCTGGAGGTCAGATCAGTGTGGCAGGTTGTTTGGAGTTTTAAGTCAGGTGATAGATGGTATTCATTCATTCATCCAAAAAATGTATGTGTATGCATGAGTGTGTGTGTATAAAACCTGCTATGCAGGGACGCCTGGGTGGCTCAGTCAATTAAGCATCTGCCTTTGGCTCGGGTCATGATCCCAGGGTCCTGGGATGGAGTCCCCCTGTCAGGCTCCCTGCTCGGTGGGGAGCCTGCTTCTCCCTCTGCCTGCCACTCCCCCTACTTGTGCTCTCTTTCTGACAAATAAATAAATAAAATCTTTAAAAAAAAAATCTATGCAGTGGTGCTAGGTATTATTTTAGGATCTGGAGACACAGAGTTGAGTCAGATACAAATCCTGCTCTTAAGTCAAGGTCATGAACCAAGTAAATGGAGCTTCTTAAGTCTGAGACCATCCAGAAGCATGTGAGTGTCTGATAGGATGAGCTATGAGTGTGGAGGTATCACACCCAGATCAGGCGGAACTGGGTTTGGGCATTGAAGTAGAGCTACATTGATCCAGGAAATGTCTCTGAGGATCCAGATTCTGGCCCTTTGACATCCAAGCTTGAGTCATTTAGCAAGGGTTATGGGTAGGAGCAGACTCCCTGATAAGGGGTGAGGTAGGGTAGATGCCCCCAGTGAGCCAAAGAATGAAAGGAAGCATGTAGAGAAATCGTCTATGTGAAGAATACCAAAGAAACTAGCTGACCCAGAGTGAAAATTCTATAGTAGAGAAAAGAGAAAAATAATGCACCAGGGAATAGTTTGGTGGGAGGGACAGTGGACACAAATGGAATCTGAGGGGCTCTTAAAACCCAGTCTGAACAAGTGGAGCTCAGTGGGTGCCAGACAGGAATTAGCACAGATAGGGAGCAGAGAAAGGTCTTACTCCTCAGTATAGTGAGAAGTATAGTCAAATCAGAGGTTGGATGGGAATCCTTTCCTGTGTGAACCCAGGAAGTATAGCCAAGGACTCACAGCCAATCAGAAGAATATATTCAAAACAGGCCACTGTTTGACAAATGACAGGGGGAGGAGCCAGTCCTTTCTCACCAGTAGGGCAACAGATGACTGTAGAAGAATGAAAGTCATGGGATTTTTGACAAGGATCCAAGGAGAAGATATCCAGGTCAAAGCAGAAATTGGTGCCTATGGGGTCCTGATGGGAGATGTCGAGGTGGGGCCAAGTTAAGAGGGCTAAAAGCCAAAGATTACAGCCAATTTTTAAAAGTGGTTAGGACACACAGGGACTAGAGTTGGTCAGAGAGAGGTAAGAAGTTCACCAACAGATGTTTCAAGGACACAGGCCGCTTTTGAGATTGCCCAGGAACTCTGACTCTGCCCATTATGTCATATTCCTACAGAGTCACATGTTAGTACCAGATTACTGAGGGCCTTGGCAGCCAAGCAGAGGAGTTTAGACATGAAGTAATGGGCACTAGGAACAACTGCAAGCTTTTAAGCAAGAGCACAACAAATTAAAAAAAAAAAAAATCAATCTGGCAAAATTGGATAGAGAAAGAGATAGCTTGTTGAAGGCCAGTTTGAAAGCTATCACAACAACTCAGTGGCTATATAGTGAGGGTGGCAGCTGTGAGAAAAGGAGTTGCTATCAGAGAGGTGGGAGAGGAAGCCAGATTGTAGGAGGTTAAGCTGGTTGCCTCTGTGTGGTAGATTGTAACAAAAGTCACAACTATAGATTGATAGTATGTAATAACACAAATATAGCAAAGTGTTAATTGAAGAAAAGAGGTGGTGGGCATGGCAGTATTCACAGTACAGTGTTTTTAAATTTTTTGTATGTTTGAAAATTTACACAATAAAATGGCAAGAAAAAAGCCAAATACTATGCCCCTTCTTCTATCTGTGCCCTTGTCATATGATTTTACACATTCCCCCATCAGGTAGTGGACTCTTTTCTACCTGTGACTCTGAGTTGGCCATGCAACTTGATTTGGCCAATGAGACATTAGCAAATATGACACAAGTAAAGGCTTAAAGATTTGGGCATTGAGATTTACCATTTTTCTGATCTTGGGAACTTTGCAACTACCATCATATAAATGATCTTGGACTAGTCTGTTGAATGATGATAGACACATGGCCTAGTTATCCTCATCACTCTAGCTGACAACAAGCCAACCACTGGACATGTTTGTGGGACCATTGACTGCCAGCTGCGTCAGTGAGCCCTGCTGAGACCATCCCAAATTGTCAGCCTACAGAATTATGACCAAATAATTGACTACCATTTTAAACCACTAAGTTGTGAGGAAATTTGCCAGCAAAAGCCAACTGATACATTCTACTTGTTATCCCTTTGACTCCATTCTGAGGGAACCCCATGCCGAGCCCTGTCTGTCTCTATGTGGCTCTGCAAAGTTTCAGGGAGAGGTCAGTGGTATCTGGGGGTTAGAGGGAGGATGACATGGTATGGGGACTGTGACATGAAAGGATGCCATGGGGTGGAGCCAGTGTGACATTAGGGCAAGAGTCAATGTGACATGGGTGAAGGCTCAGTTTGTTAGGTGAGGTGTGTAGCTCACAGAGGAGGGAGTTTATTTTGAACTTGAGGGCTAGTAAATGTCACACAGAGAGGTGAAGATCAGCCACACTAAGTGAAGACAGGTGAGTAAATGTAAGGGAACTAGCAACCGAAGTATCACTGGAGACAGTGGAATAAGGCAGACACAACTGGCCAGTTGAGATTTATCTTTGCTAATAAAGTTCTTGGCTTACAGGACATCCATCTATGGTCAGGCATTTCACCTTAGAAAAATTTCCCAGACAACAATGGGAGGGCAGACACTCTAGAGAAATAAGGTCTGGCTGTCCTTCCCTTTGATGCCATCCTCCCTTGGTTTATATCCCCACCCCACCTTGATATTTCTGCCTTTGCAAAGCTTCTAGGAGATCAGGCTTGTTGGTAGTTCACTCCCTTCCCAGGTCTTCTTACTTCAAGAAGGCATGGAGATCACAGACATGAAACACCTCTTTCTAGTCTTCAGCATTCTGACAGTGACTGGTAAGTGCAGGTTCCTATTTTGGCTTAAAACTTTGAAAAGGTCATATTGGAAGAAAGTGTAGGAAATGGGTCTAGATAAGATGGGTGGAGAGTACATTAGTTAGAAAGATAAGAATTTGGGATACTGGTGATTGGAAGTTTCCTAGCCCACTCAAAGATATGTAGAGCCCACTGATTTTCCTCTGGCTTCATGGGTGCAAAAGAAGATTCAGACTGAGATAATAAGACTTGGCACAATGGATGGTGGGTGTTGGCAAAAGAATGTGATTTTGCTATATAGCTAGGAAGGAAGCTTAAGGAAAAGAAAAATCAAGCTGAAGGAAGGAGAAGAGGAGTAAAAAGAAGGAGGATACAAATACAGAGGGAAGTCTAAGGGGAAATTAACAGAAGGACCCTGAAATGGTTCAGTAACTCCTCAAATGTCAATAACCCATTGACCATTTCAAAGCACTTCTGTATAAAGTGTTTCAGACTTCGATCTTCTGGAATATCTGCCTGTCTCTAAAATTCTGTCTTCCTTTCCCCTATCTGACAGTAGTAACAACAATAACTGTAAAACCAACACCGATACAAGTAAAATTAGCCCAGCAGTTCAATCAGATGGACATCAAAACTGTACCAACCTTTTTGGTTTTCCTGAACTCAGAATATAAGTCTTGTTTGGGGACCCTGATCCACAAACAGTGGGTTCTCACTGCAGCCCACTGCTTCTTGCCGTGAGTAATGGGGGTCCTAGAGGGAGAGGTAAGGGGGTACTGAGGCTCGGCCCTGAAGAAACTTGCCCAGGAGCTCTCAAGCCCGAGAAGTGAGTGATTGGAAGGAGGCAGGAAATAGATCTAGGTGGTTATGAGCTAGATTTCTGGGTGGGATGATGTAGACAGAGGGAACTGGGGAAGCTGAGGACTAAGGGATGAATCAATAGGGAAGAAAAGCCTATATACAATGTGGTACAGACCAAAGAATTATAGAAGTGCAGTAGAAATTGCTCATTTGCCAGACAAGGAAATGGAGGTCTTGGCAAGTTTTGGAAGGAATTCATACAAAGTCACAAAGCAAGTTGGGGGAGAAAGGATACAAGGTGAACAATAGAATAATATCTAATCCTTCATGGCCTGTTCCAGATTTCTTGAGATAAACATTGCTGCTTCAAAAGAGAGTTTCCAAAACAAGATTGGAAACTTAAGACCCATGCTTACTGTCCAACACCCAGATTTTACCCGGGATTCTGCTGAGCATGACCTCATGCTTATCAAGCTGAATCATCCCCAAAAGCTCAACGATCAGGTGAAGCTGGTGGTTCTGCCCAATACCACAGATGACAGAAGAGGGGAAAAGTGCACAGTCTCTGGCTGGGGCTGGGAATGGAAGAATTCCAGTGAGTGGCCCTCAAGACAGACCCTTAGTGTTCCTTAAGTATCCACTCAAAGAGGATTATCATATAATTTTTATTATAGGTCATGAGAATTGGAAGAAACCTGAGAACTTATAATATCTTAACCTCTAGTTTTATTTATTTGGAAATTGAGGCCCAAGCTGGTAACATGACTGTTTATGGCTGGAGGTCTCTGGAGTCCAGTGTTCTTGACTCATTCATCCCCCAGGTGAGGGCGAAAAAGTGTCTGGGTGAGGAAGGGCTTGGCAAGTAATCCCACTGGTGATGCTAAGTGTGACTTATTCGTTAGAAACTTAGAGACAAGCATTCACACAAAAAAAGCATGCACACACAAGCCCAAGGTATGCAGTTTGCAACACTGGGACCAGACCATGGTTTTCTCATTTCATTATGTTTCTTCTTCTCTGGTTCCTTTTCATTTTGGCTTTTTCTTTCATTGAATGATGGAGGGGTTAATAACAGAAAAGAGGGAGTGAAGGGGAGAAGAAAGGGAGATGAACATGTTAAGGATCAAAGAGAAACAAAGCCTTTTCTCTCTTTCTCCCTTTCTGTGTGTGTGTGTGTGTGCGTGTGTGTGCGCACGCTCGTGTTCATAGACACAGAGCCTGATATCCAGCTAAACCAGACTGTCTTTTGGTTCTCTAATGATGACTGCCAAGAGACTCCAGTAGGACAAATTCCTGTTAAAATCACAGAGAACATGTTCTGTGCAGGATCATCTCTGGAGAACACACACACATGTAAGGTAATTCTTTTCCCTCTGCCCCATTTGAGTTTGGTCTGGGACACTGTTTTGGGGTCCACATATCTCCCTCAACCAATCTAATTTCCTGTCTCTACATTCAAGAAGAGATAAAGGTAAATGGGATCCAGGAAAGAATGTGTCTTTTCAATAATGAATGAACTTAGATGCCAGGGCAGAAACATCTCAGAGTGTTCTTATTTCTTCATGGCTAACTCTGATGTGGCCTAGAATGAGTGCTGGGATGGGCCCAAGATATCCACCAGACATTTCTCCCAGTCCTTATCACCTAAGTCTTTCTATTCTGGACCCCTCAGATAGTGACTTGACTCTAGGTACTAGGTCATCTTTGTTTTGGCTATCCTGCCTGACCCATCTGTCCTTTTCCTAACAGGAATTACCTGCTGCCCCAATCCTGTGCCAGAATCAGCTCCACGGGATCCTATCTTGGTCAGCAGGATGTATTCTGAGAGGTGATATTGGCTACTACACCAGGGTTTCCCACTATACAGACTGGATCTGCAAAGTCATCCACAATAACTGAGCTCTCTCTAGTCCCTCTCCCAGGGCCTCAGAACTGGGTCTACCATCTTAACCCTTCCTTTCCCTCGAGCCTCAGAACAAGATGGGAATAGCGTCTTTGGCTATCAGAAATTTTCTGTTCCTTCTGTTCTCTTGACTTCCCTTCTCCTTTCTCAGTCCTAGCCTGAATGATCATCAGAGGATTTGAGCTTGTTAGCATTCTCCTAAATAAGCTAACTTCTCACCACTCCCTTCCTCTCCTCCAACTTCCTACCCACCTGCCATGGTTACATCAGACTTTTATGGAACAGTTCTCCTCCAACCTCTACCCTCCAGAGGACATATGGGCCTCAGGAATGTGATGGTGAGACTGTGGCATCTCTAGGGTCTGACAGGCCTCTGAGTCAGGCCTGTGCCCTCTCACTCCGTCATATCTAATAAGGCTCAGTAAATGCTGCAGTGTTATTAGGCTGCTGGCAAATAATTCTTAGAGATAGTGGCTAGAGTTTTATGATAACAAGAACTATAAGGGTTTCAAAAATGGTTAGGAGATGAAGCAGAAGTGGGTGCAGAGAGGAGTTAAATGGGTCAGACTACCAACGGGAGGAGGGATGATCTCCTGATCATCTGTGCTAAGCACAGAAAAAAATCTAAGATAGGTGACTGGAAAGAGAATGGTAGAAGGATAATAGGGAAATATTGAAACCTAGGTGAGTATAATTGTGTTTGTGTGTGTCTGTGAGTGTGCATATGCATGTGTGTGTATAGACTGGTGGAGATGTGTGCAAAGAATGATCTCACTGAACCAACCAAAGTCTATCCTACACCAATTGCCAATTCAGCTGATTTTCTCCAAATCCTGAATTCACCTGCTCTTATCCTACCTTTCTCAATTATTAAATTAAAAAAAACTAAAATAGGTCCTATTTTTATTATAATATTTTATTTTGAAATTGGTTAAGACAAGAAATTGTAAAAAAATATTACAGAAAGTTTCCGTGTACCCAGTCTTGCCCCATTGATAATATTTCCTATAACCATAGTAAAATGTTAAAACCAGGAAATTCACAGTGGTACAATGCTGTTCATTCAGGTACAGATTTTATTTGGATTTCACCAGTCTTTCTTTATATACACTCTTTTTAAGGGTAAAATTTGAAATCTTATCGCATATATGGATTCCTATGACCATCACCACAAGCAGAATCCAAAACTGTTCTATCACCATATGATCTGAAAGATACTTCTTCGTGTTATACTTTAATAATCACACCTTTTCCTGGCCCTAACCCTTGAAACCATTGATCTATTCTCCACCACTACAATTTTGTCACTTCAGGAATGTTCTGTAGTACGCAATCTACATAAATCCACTACTCTTTTTTTCATTCATGATGTTCCAAGAGTCCTTTCATTGTCATTTCCTTTCTATCTGAATAGCTTTTTTAGTCATTCTTTTAGAGCAGGTCTGCTGGTGACAAATCCTCTTAATGTTTCTTCACCTTATTTCTTGAAGGATATATTTTTTTAAGATTTTATTTATTTATTTATTTATTTATTTATTTATTTATTTATTTGACAGAGAGAGAGAGAGCCCAAGCAGGGGGAGTGGAGAGGGAGAAGCAGGCTCCCCGCTGAGCAGGGAGCCCGATATGGTACTCGATGCCAGGACCCTGGGATCATGACCTGAGCTGAAGGCAGACGCTTAACCATCTGAGCCACCCAGGCGCCCTTAAGGATATTTTTTGCTGGATAAAGAATACTGGGTGGCGCCTGGGTGGCTCAGTCCATTAAGCATCTTCTTTCTAGGCCTGTGTTGGGCTCCCTGCTCAGCAGGGAGTCTGCTTCTCCCTTTTCCTCTCCTTCTGCTTGTGCTCACACTCTATCATAAATAAATAAAATCTTTAAAAAAAAAGAATTCTGGGTTGACAGTGATTTTCTTTCAGGACTTGGAAAATGTTTGCCTCTTTCTTCTGTCCTTCAAGTTTCTGAGGAGAAATCTGTTATCATTTGACTCATTGTTCCCCAATCGGTAATGCATGGTTTCTCTCTGGCTCTGGCAGCTTTCGAAAGTTTTTCTTCATCTGCCTTCATCTTCCCTTTTCAGAGATTTAATTGTGACATGTCTGGGTGTGAATTTTTTAAAAAGTTTATTCTGTTTGGGGGTACATCCAGTTTCTTGAATCTGTAGGTTTATGTCTCTCACCAAATTTGAGAAGTTTGAGCCATTACTTCTTCAAGTATTTTTCAGCTTAGTGTTCTTTTTCTTCTGAAACTTTGATAACATGAATGTTAAATCTTCTGTTATTATCCCACAGGTCCCAGGGGATCCATTCATTTTTTTTTAATCCCTTTTTCGTCTGTTGTTCATATTGATAATTTCTAGTGCTCTACCTTCAAGTTCACTGACTCTTCTGGCCTGCCAATTTTGCTATTGAATTCATTATTTTAATTATGTTATTATTTTCTATATTTATGATGCTTTCACATCTTGGGAGCCTTGCTGGCTACGGAAAAAGTGCCCCTCCCAGAGCTAACTAATTCTTGGAGGTAGTAAATGACTCTGTCTACCACATGCTTTTTATATGCAGACCTACCAATCCAGAGCTCTATCCCACCACCTCCTTTATCCAACTTTCACACACCAAGCCAATATTTCCCCTGCTCTAAATCACATGGGGCCAGATATTGAACAACTAGAGATCACCACCATAGCTCAGAGCCTGCTGAAATTACTCAAACTATTCAATCCTAAACTTGTTCAAACTTGACTACTCTGCCTCACCTGTTCCTTCTATTGGTTTCCAAATAAAGGCTTGTGCCTGTGCTTTCCTCTCACTCCTCCTGCCTCCTGACTGACTCTAGTACTTCTTCTACTTCTACTAGAAGTACTTCTAGTACTTCTTAAACTCTTCTTTCAATGGCACTGACCTGTCAGTGTTATCATTTAGTCACTTTTAGAAATTAAATCCTAGGTTCAATTAAAACACCCATCTAATGAATTTTTTAGTTCAGTTATATTTTTAAATTCTAAAATTTCCATTTGGTTTATCTTTATATCATCTATAAAATTTGCTAAGATTTTCTGTTTCTTCTTCATTTGACTCTAGTATTTGCAATTGCTTATTAGAATGTTTTTATAATAGCTGCTTTAAAATCCTCATCTGATAATTCCAACATCTTCGTCATCTAGATGTTGACATCTGTTGATTATATTTTCTTACTGGAGTTGAAATTTGCCTAATATGGTGAGCAGTTTTGTACTATATCCTGGACAGTTGGATATCCATAAGAGTCTGATTCCTATTTAGATATCCTAACTGAGGGGAGCCTGAGTGGTTCAGGCAGTTAGGTGTCTAACTCTTGATTTCAGCTCAGGTTGTGATCTCAGGGTTGTGGGATCAAGTCCCATGTTGGCCTCTGCACTGGGCATGGAACTCACTTGGGATTCTCTCTCTCCCTCACCCTCTTGCCCTTCCCCCACCCCCATTCACTGTTTCTCTCCTCTAAAAAAAAAAGATATACTAATTGAGCATGTACTTAACCGATTTATGTTCTGAATGTATGGCCTAGCCCACTTTTGTGGGCTATGATTCAAATGTCAATTTGGTTTATAAAGCCTCTAGAGTGTTATTCTGTAGGGAGTTGTGGTGACAGAACAATCACACACACACACACACACACACACACACACACACACACACACACAAATTGTCTACATCCTAATCCTTAGAACCTATGAATATGTTACCTTACATGGTAAAAGAGACTTTGCAAATGTGATTAAGTTAAGGATCTTTTTTTTTAATTGATTCTTTTATTTTAAGATTTTATTTATTTTTGACTGAGAGAGGGAGTGTACAAGCAGGGGAAGAAGCAGGCAGAGGGAGAGGGAGAAGCAGGTTCCCCACCAAGCAGGGGGCCCAATGGGGGACTCGATCCCAGGACCCTGGGAGCTGAAGGCAGATGCCCAACCGTCTGAGCCACCCAGGCGCCCCAAGGATCTTGATATGGGAAGATTAGCCTGGATTTCAAGGTGGGCCCAATGTAATCACAAGTGTCTTCAAAAAAAGAAGGCAAAAGGATCAAAAAAAGAGGGGAGATGTAATCACAGAAGTAGAGGTTGGAGTGATGTGTTTTAAAGATAGAGGCAGGGACCATGAGCCAAGGCACACAGGCAGCCTCTAAAAGCTGGAAAGGCAAGGAAATTGATTCTCCCCAAAGCCTCCAGAAAGGCTTCCAGAAAGAAGGCAGTTCTATGGACACCTTGATTTTAGCCCAGTAAGACTCACTTTGACTTTCTGATCTCTAGAACTGTAAGGTAATAAATTTGTGTTGTTTTAAGCCACTAATTTTTGGCAATTTTTTATAACAGCAATAGGAAACTAATACATGGTAGAAGTTAATTAGAGTTCTGCCAACCAGCCCCACTACTGGAGCACCATAGGGATGAGGGAGTACATGGCTTTTTCATAGGTTTTATCTCAAGATCAAGGAAATTGCCAATAACTTATTGGTTTAAAACAACAAAAATGTATTATCTCATGGTTTCCTTAGTTAAGAATTCCATAGCTCAATGTCTCATAAGGCTAAAATCAAGATGTGGTCCAGCCACATCTCCACCTGGAGGTTCAACTAGGGAAAGATCCACTTCCACCTCTTTCACATTGCTGGCAAAATTCATTTCCTTTCAGTTGTTAAGGCTAAGATCCCCGAGTCTTGCTACCTGTCAGCAGGGGACCACATTCAGCCCCTAGAGTCATTCTCAGATCTTTCCCATGTGGACTCCTCCATCTTAGCAACAGAAAACCACCCTCATGTCAAATGCTTCTCATGTTTTGAATTTCTCTGACTTCCCCTTCTACTACCAGGCAAAGAAAACTCTTAACTTTTAAAGGGCTCATGTGATTAGGCCAGGACCACCTGGATAATCTCCTTATCTTAATGTCCACCATGCCATATAACATAGCCTAACCACAGAGGTCATGTCCATCAAATTCACAGTTCCAGGTCAGGACATCTACTCAATAGCAGGAAACTTGGGGGTACATCTTAGAATTCTGCCTACCACATATAGTTAAGAAGTTTCTGTTCTATTGGGCTTCTCCTTTCCCAGTCCTTTGGCTAGAGAG